TATTCCAAAAAAATTAGGAAAGCAGATGATTTAATAATATAGGAAACTTATTGGTAGGATTATTTATTGTGTTTCTGTGCTGTAATGCTACTGTTTCTATAATATTTTAATTTCTCTAGAAAATTAAGCAATCTTGACAGTGTTGGACACGAAGTCTAGGGCTTTTATTTTAAAAATCTGTGATAAGCTTTAGAATGACATGAAAAATACACAGTCACAACCCCGTTTAAAACACTGATGTACAGTGATTCTGTAAATTACAGTCTCTGTGGTTAGTGACGTTTTTTGGAGATTATAAACTTATAAATGGTTTAATATAAAGTAATTGCTATTCTTGGCTTGCCCACTAATTCATTTGCTGCTGATCTGTTACTTATTTCTTCACCTAAATTAAAACAAAAAAATTCCTTTATTTATTGTTGCTTAGAAAGGATAATAAAGTAACTCTACAGTTTATCATCTTGGCATATTGATGAGCTTATTTTTAAATTATATTCATTTCCCTACCCTCTTCGGTATGTACCCTCACTCATAGGAGTGAAGTAATTTACTAATTATTTTGTTACATATTCCTATATATTCAAATTTGATTTTTATAGGGGGTCTAGTGACATTCTTATACACTATACATACTAAAATATATATAAAGATATGAATAATAATATTTGGAGCTATGCTTGTGCTCTCTGACCTAAATGATGGGATCGTCTTTGAAAAATTGAAAGAAAACTCCAGGTTTGTAGAAATCCTATGAGGGAGATGTAGGCATCTTTTTAATTTTTTTAGAAAGGGAAAAATGGATGAAAGGTGTTTAATTATTGGATAACTGTCTGAAACTAGAAATCACATTGTTAGATCAACTCAAGAATTTAGTTGTGTCATAAGTTAAATGTGATGGTTTGCCCTAATCACAAGAATATTAAAATATGGAGATCTTTATCCTTTTTAAATTGAAAATATAGATACTTTATTTGCATTAGGGTACAAATAAATGACTAGAAATTTTATGGACACGTTAATAAAATCATCAGTTATCTTGTACTCCTTAGCATATTAACGTGAGCTTAATAGAAGAAGTCCTTAGTGGTTATCGTTGAATGACATATCTTTTAGTTCCTAATATTGATCATTTTATTTTCAACTGATTATTCAGAGTATTAAAATAAATTGAGTCCATTTACCATGTTACAATTTAAATTCAGTTCTTTTTGATGTTATTTTCCAAAGATGGCTGAGATAATTACACAACTGTAGTGCATACAACACATACTGGTTCAAAAAGATCTCTGAAAAAGAGAGGCAAATGACTCCAGTTTTGAATTAATTCTAACACAGACATTAATTTCCTTAGAATCCCAATGCCTAACTTGCAGAATTTACTATTACTTTTTAAATCTCTTATTGTTTTGACTATTTTGAAATGTGTTTGTTTTAAGAAAATAGAGATTGAATAAAGAACTCTGTATTGTAAGCAGACTTGTATAATGTGTGATAAGCTATCCATCATCTTCTGCAGTATTCATGACATTATGGTGTTACTAGAGTTTTCATTTAGAAGATTTCATAGGGAAACTGGAACCTACACTTTCTTACTTCAGATGTATCTTCTTTTTACTGCATCTACTGTTGATTTCACAAAAGGAGATTTATTTCGCATGAGCTCGAATTTCTTCAGACATTGTTGGATTATTTTTCTGTGAACTATTTAAAGTGTATGATTATCCTGTGTATATTTTTCTGGGTATAGTATTGATAATTTAGAACTTAAATGTTCTCTGGTAATATATTCATTGAAATGTAGATTTTTCCCTAAAAGTAGCCTTTACCTATTTTTTATTAAAGGTTATAAATTTTTACTTGATTTTAAAAAACAAACCACTAATACTGTTAAGTAAAAGACCAGTGTTCTTTTTGATTGAGTCACATGTTGTGTTTAGCTAAAAAATATCCTATGTCAGGAATATATTCTCTGTAGTACCATCTAGGTACACTTAGAGTGGATTACCTCTATTATACACAGTTGGATGAAACTTAAACAACCATTAGCAGTAGTCATGTTGGATACTCTTTAGCAAACTGAAAAAATGCTTATGAAGAAATGAATTAAGATGTGTTATATAAATGTACCAATCCAGATGAAGAGTATAATCCTTAATAAAAAATAAAAGTAATAAAAATAAAACTTTTGGGAAAAAGAAACAATTGCTAGCAATACCAAACAAACAAAAATACTGCTACTTTGAATACTGTTTTGCACAATGAGAAAATGCTTACTCTACATTGTTGACCAAAAAAGTTCAAGTAAGTGACTATACTGTAATTGCAACTGTTTGAAAATGTGTGGGTGCGGAAGACTGGTTTGGTTGAGGATATAAATATAATATTGTTAGGACTATTAAATTTAATTTTATCTTCTGTGTTCCATTGTGTCTGCATGACAAATCTCATAGTTTATTCTGATTTGAATTGTGAAATAAAATTTTTTGAAATTTTGTGTCACTTATAATTTGCTAATATACTACTATATCTCAAATATTTCTCTTGGATCAATGTAGTAGCAATCCCCTATATCTAGATAGATCCCTTTTTATTGATGGTAGCTATTGAGGGAAACTGTATCTTTGAAATTCTGGAAAATGTGTTTTATTCAGAGAGGTATTCAATAATCCACATGTACTTCTGATTCTTGGCAAACATTTTTTCCAGTTTGTTGCTGTCACTACTGAAAATCTCACAAGATACTTTCTATTTTGATTTTATTTTTTCAAGGACTAAGATCATGAAAAAGTCAAAACTGCACATGAGTTGACGCTGAAGCTGGTTTTAGGACACACTTTAAACTGATTCCTGTTTATCAACTGTGGTTAAATATTTTTAGAATGCTTCTGAAATGTATCCAAAGAGGAGTAAGAAATATGAAATTGTAATAAGTCAACCCTCAACACACAGAGACCACAGACAGATTGACTTGAGATCTTTCTTTTGTCGGTGTGGCAAAGAATAAGTTAAATTGAAAAGTGCAGTGGTAGCTTCCCTTGCCAGTTCTTCTCTGAGTGAATTCAGGAAATTAGGGATTACGGTGGGCTAAGAGCTGAAGTGACAGTTCACAGGTCACAGGTACGTCCACGTTTTGTACTGGATGTGGCAGTATTGACATAGATTAGCTGAAACGGTGAAGTAATGTCTGTGTTTATGCTGTGGCATAGATCTAGCATAAATCCCACTTACATGTCCGTGAGTCTTTGTTCCCTTTGTAATTTAGGTGTGTCGGTCTTCCTGGCCCTGGTGAAGAGCCCCCCAGTTTTTGGTTTGGCACTACTAATCTGTGCTTTAGAATGCTTCTCCACCGACTCTGTTGTGCAGCCAGAGGAGGAGGATAATTGTTCTGGAAAATAATTTCATCACTTTGGTTTTAAAATAGTGAACTCCTGGTTATGCTTCCTTTTTTTCTGTTAACATAAATATGGTCCTAAAATAGTCTTTAATAACTTCCTAATTTACCTTTATACTCTTAGTTTTCTCAGTCTCTGTCTGGCACATGGTAGTTATTTCATACAAAGATTGAAACAGATGATGAATGAAGTTGACCCCCTGCTGTGCACGTGAAACACAAAGCTTTAGCTAATTCAGTATTTCTAAACACTGCAGGATGTCATTTGTAATGTTCATTTTTTTAATGATGTAGCACAGTACAAATATAAAGTATATCTTGAGCACTTTTATTAGTAATAGGATATTAATATAATGGAGGCAAAGTAATGGATTTAAGTGAATTTTATACAAATCTAAGAAAATATTTACTTTTTAAATCATAGCAAGGTTACAATTTCTTTTTGTTACTTAAGTAGAAAATAAAGTGCTTAGTGTTTGCATCTGTTCAGTTTGTGAAAAGATCCTTGAAGAAACTATTTCCTTTAAACACGTGTGAAAAGCTTTGGGAAATTTGAAGTACATGAACTAAAATTTAGAAGGACATTCTGTGTTTTAGGTGGCCCTCTTCTGGTGAGAAGGAGAAACTATACCAGATGAAGACTTGGAATTTTTCATACTGTCAAAATCAAGCAAATAAATGACGAACAATCTATTTTCACTCTTTCTCTAGGTTCCTAGTAGCATAATTAACAGACATAAAGCAAGTAGACAGTAACACAAACTAATCTTCTTTTCATCTGCTTTGTGTAGCTATTATGTGACTGTAAGGATCAAAAACTCGGTGACATTTTAATAAAAAGCTATTAAATTTGATTTTTTAATACTATTTACTTGGTCATAATTTTATACTCACACAAAAGTTACAAAGATAAAAGCTAAAGTTTCTACTTACTTTTCCACTGAGCTACATATTAACATCTTACTTAACATAGCATCATCTATAAAAGCGGAAAGTCAACATTGGCACACTGTGGATAACCAAGCCCTAGACCTTAATCAGATGTTATCAGCTACCCTATCAGCATCCTTCCCTGACTCCAAGATTGTCAGCATGGGCCAGTGTCTCGATCTTTTTTATGATTTGACTCTTTGGAAGATTACTCATCATTTTTTTGGGTAAAATATCCTCCCACATCATCTGTCTGCTATCTCCTTCTTAGGAATTTTAAGCAGAAATACAAATGTCATTGTGTCTGTTCATTGCCATATCAGTGGATGGTAGGATAAGCTTATGTCTTATTACAATAATGTGGGCTTTGTTCACTTGGTTAGTGTGCGTGTCAGGTTTCTTCACTACAAAGTTACTCTTTTCTGTGGTAATTAATAAGTGTATTGACATAGTTTTAGATGAGATGTCATATAGTTAATCACAAATACATTTCCTTTTTCGAGGGCATTCTAATGGAATGCAGTTACAATTTGTATATTAAATTAAGCATTGCCGAAGTTATTTTGTTGCATTGTTTGCAGTGATCTTTTCTCCTTCACCTGTGCCTATCAGCATTTTGAATATTAAGTTACAGTCTTATTTATGTTGACTAAACCCCATGCACTTAATGGCTTCATAGGTTTGTCGAGAGTATCAACGTGGCAATTGCAACAGAGGAGAAAATGATTGTCGGTTTGCTCATCCTGCTGACAGCACAATGATTGACACCAATGACAACACAGTTACTGTCTGTATGGATTACATCAAGGGAAGATGCTCTCGGGAAAAGTGCAAATACTTTCATCCTCCTGCACATCTGCAAGCCAAGATCAAGGCTGCCCAATACCAGGTCAACCAAGCTGCAGCAGCCCAGGCTGCAGCCACTGCAGCTGCCATGGTGAGTACAGACATCAGCTCTCTCCTTGTTAGCAGTCAAAAAAGCAAAGTGAACAACCATATCTGACTACAAGCTATTCATTTATTAACCTTTTTTAAAAGTTTTTTGCTGAAGATATGTTTGTTCAGGTATCCCAGAAAATACATAAAGAAGTTACCCTTCACAGAAGTGAGGGTAACTCCTCAAATGGTTCAGATTGCTCCTATTCTTGCCCTAACTCTTAATACTCTGTCTTATTCTGGACATAGGGCTTCTGAAATTTCTGCTTTATAGAGAACCACCTGTCTCCTTCTTTTCAATTTAACGATATTATCACTCTTGGTCTTCTTATTTTTGTGTGCCATCTAATCAGCCGTTGTGTTCCTTTGGTGTGTTCTTTTGCACATCAAGACTCTTCTTTATATACCGCTTTTAACCATAACACAATCTGGAGCTATTTAGGAGAATTACTTCGACAACATTGTTTTTAGAATTAGCTACAGGATTTTGGATAGTATGCTGTCTAGATTATCTGAAATAATATTGTGGCATAAACCGAATTATGTAACTGTAGAAGCCTGATTATGCCATTATCTAGAAAGAAGAAAGACAGCAAGCATTGCTCAAGGAGCTAGAAATTGGATCATTTAGAGTAGACACTAAACTACATGTTTAAAGTAAATTTTAATGTGACCTAATAGCTGAGTTGAATGAGTCCAATTCTTGTTCTTTGCTTAGCTGTCTTAATGTTGTCCTTTTTTACATAAATATATGAATTAATCTCTAAAATATTCATAAAAAACCACTATGTAGCATTTCACAGCACAGTGAAATAATCACGAGAGAGGTCTTTTCTGTGTTTGTTTATGGATACTTGAGCAAAAATACAGAAGGCGGACTCTCTCCTTTTCTCTTGCTTTCACTCTTTTTTTTCTGATAGAGTATCTTGTTTGTAATTAACTACAAGAGGAGTTATCCTCCCAATAACAACTCAATAGTGCCTTTATTGTGCATGCTTAGTCTTGTTATTCGTTGTATATGGCATTCCGATGATTTGTTTTTTTATTTGTTTTTTCTCACCTACCCAAAAATGCACTGCTGCCCCCATGATGCACCTCTGCTTGCTGTTTATGTTAATGCGCTTGAACCCCACTGGCCCATTGCCATCATGTGCTCGCTGCCTGCTAATTAAGACTCAGTCGGCTGTCAAATCACTGAAGCGACCCCTCGAGGCAACCTTTGACCTGGTACTATGACCTTTCACCTTTTAGCTTGGCATGTAGCTTTATTGTAGATACAAGTTTTTTTTTTTTTTTTACCAACTTAAATATATATTCCTTTTTCTGTTATAAAGTTCTAAAGTACAATGAAAAACTGAGTGTGGTTTCCTGACAAAATTAGTGGAAAGACTAATATAAGTACATAGATGGATGTCATACAATGCAAGACTGAAAACCCAGCAGCCCACATTCAGTTTAACTACATTGTAAAATATGCTAAAGAAATACTTGGAGGACATTAAAGTGTATTTTTGACTGTATATTTTATGTACTTGTTTGGTTAGCATGGCTTTAGTAATAGAATTATTTACTTTGTAGTATTTCTAGTTCAGTATTTAAAAAAAATAGTTGCATGCTCTGGGACATTTGCATGTGTAGGTAGATCTGGTTGGGGGGAGGAGCAGAGTGGTGTAGATTTTTATGTTACCAGTTTCAGTCACTCTGTACAATGAACTATTAACATTGCTTATACTTGTCGATCCTCATGGAGCTCGCAGTACAGCTTTTCTTCTTTTCCCAAATCAGTGGCTTCTCACAGAAAGCCTGAAGCATTATGGGATGTTAAGCACCTTAACACGTGATAACACATGCTCTCGTCCAGAGGAGTTTTAATTGTGCACAGAAATAATGCTTCCTTTAAAGCTTTTATCTTGCTTTTTTGTTTTTCCTTTAATTTTTTTGTTTATTGGATTTTTCCCCTTGGGTAGTTAAGTGCTTTGCTGCTTGCTTGCTCATGCTTCCTAACAGTTTTAGCCTTCAACTGATTTTTCTCTTTTCTTTTTTTTTTCTTTTTACTGGTATTTGTTTTTTATACTCATTCACTAAACAGGGAATTCCTCAAGCTGTACTTCCCCCATTACCAAAGAGGCCTGCTCTTGAAAAAACCAACGGTGCCACCGCAGTCTTTAACACTGGTATTTTCCAGTACCAACAGGCTCTAGCCAACATGCAGTTGCAACAGCATACAGCATTTCTCCCACCAGGTAAGGGGTTGGGCTTATTTAATAAAGGAGTCTGATGATCAAGGTAGTACTGGTAGAGCAGATAAACCACACCCCAGGATTGCTTTAAATCATAGATAAGAGGTAAGGTAAGGCGGTCAAAAGTGGAAACTTACTGAAGTATCGCATATGATTTTTCTTTAAAGCTAGGAACTTTAGCTTAAAGAAATACAGATTAAATATCAGTGGTGTTTTATGTATTTATTTGTGTTTGTTATTTGGAATTGAAATATAGTTCTCTTTTCCTCTCTTTCAACACTGTTATATGTATGTCAAGCTGTTTTATGATACTTTTTGCTGTAAGACCCCTTTGCCTTCATGATTCTGTAAGTGTTAATTTGACTTGTATGAAATGACCCTTTCAATTTTGATTAGTTTTGGCCTCTTTGGTTTCCAAGTGGACAATAAAAAATTAACTGTATCTTCTAGAACTCTTAAAGTATGCTCTTCTTAATAAATCAGTTCCTTGCTTAAAATTATTGTTCCTAAACTAATATTGAAATAATTATGTTTACATTTATATTTGAATTTTACGTTTGTGGTTACAATTTATTTTTAATTTGGTCACATATACATATTTTAGAATTATAAACATGGATTTACAAATTAAAAACATGGACTAACAATTCATTTAGATACCTAGAAATTTACTGTTTTGACATACACTGAATTTTACAAAATACATATTTAACTTCTTAGAGTCTGTAATTTAGCTATCCAGACACTCTAATCTCGTTTTCCTTTTTATGCCTTATCTTTTCACTTAAAAATACTATGTTTAGAGATTGAATAAATTAATTTTATTAGTGAATTAATGATTAGTTGTGTATATCAAAGATTGAGCCCCTTAAACTCTATTGAATATTTGTAGTGTGTTAGTTTCATAACACTGTGAGAGAATGTGACAGTGTACATTTGATTCATGAACAAAGGAATAAACTACACTCAAAATAGTTTTTACTGATAGGCACAGCTGGGTTTTTTTAAGTGCATCTTTGAAAACTGGCCATCTATATGTAAATAAATATGTAGTAACAATGAATTTACTAGGATATTCTATTAAAATACTTCATGCTTGTAGTATAAAATAACACTTATACCTGTGAAATAGCAACTGTCAAGTGGTGTTTTGAGAATAAAAAGTGATTTTAATATGTAGTGTATAAATTGCTTTCTGAGGGAAAAACTAACTTTTTCAATATAGTTTTTCAGAAACTTCAAAAAATTCATCATTTTCATTTTTATAAGTTGCCATGTCCCTAGATTTTTACTGTTTCCATGAATAACCCATTAAGTTTATGTCCTCAGACCACTAGACAAAGTTTAAAGTCATTGTAGGTAATTATCATAATCTTTTTGGAGAAATTTAAAAAATTTATTTTTGTCAGTCTCTATTTGAATAAAACTGACAGTTTCCTTAAATATGATCTAAAAATAAAAACGAATCTATCTTCTCCTAAATGTAAAGAAAAGTTGAAATAATTTGTCCTACCAAGTGGACATTAGTTTCTCCAATAGTCAGATGACCATATTCTTTTCTAAGTTAAGTGTAATCATGAGTTGAATACCATGCATTATGACATTAGTGTATTATTTATGACAGTAGTGTATCTCCTTAGAAGTTTTAAGTCCCTAGATAGAAAAAAGCTAGGTACAGTTCAAAGCAGAATCAATTGTTCTTTTGTTCTTGAAAGTTAAGCGTTGCTAATTTAAATATAATATACTATAATATCTTGAAATATGCTGACATTTTGAACATAAATTTTTTATGATACATTTTTGCATCGGCTATTCTGTCCTTTTTTTTTTTTTTTTTTTTTTTTTTTTTTTTGGTCCTGGGGACTAAACTCACAGGATCTTGCACTTGGGAGTCAGGTGCAGTGCTACTGAACTAAATGCCTGGCCTAGGTATCTATAGCAATATAAAATAATATTTGTCTCCCTTTTTTAACTGGCTAAAGCTGCAGGTTGATCTATTTATTAGTCACATAACCAGAAACAGATCTTCCCTTCGTATATCTTCAAAAATATTTTTTATTGTATATGTGCCTATGTGCACACATAAAAAAACGCCCTCATGACATCAAAAGTTTAAAACAGCCTTCCTTTACTTCTGCCAGACCACTTTGTCAGATAGAAAGAAGAGCCTGAAGTGCTGGGAATGTGAGCTCAAACACCTCAGGGCCCAGGCAGCAACATAAACAAATGAAGCAAGAACAAAACTGGGAGTCAGCCTCAGAGCCTGAGAGGTATGAGCCTGAGAACAGCGCAGGCCCATCCCCAGGGGAATGGTCAGTGTGTAGACTTAACCTTTTGTTGTCGCAGAGGTATATCTGCTGCCAGATAATTCCTGGGGAAGCACAGACTCTCCAGTGACACCACAGTGTATTGAAGAAGTGTGATTGCATCTGTGCTTCTTAGGGTGAGCTGGACACAACCTGCCTGGAAACCTTGCTACACAATGCTGCTCCAGAATATGCTGGACATCAGTGTGTTTATATGTGAAATCCCCAAATTTTTAAAATGTTGCTGTTTAGTATAGTTTTAAAAAAAACAACCTTTCAGAACTAAAAACTCATTTCTACCATGGATTCACATGTAATGTTGTGTAATTCCTGGGAGCAATCAAATTCATTTTAGAAAATCTAGATTATCCTATGCATAAATAACACAGAAGAATCACATAAAACCAAAACATCCCAACAGTCTAACAGTTGGGAAGTTATACTCTGAGGACCTTATTGGGACTAGGTAGAATATCAAAGTAATTTCTATTCTGTAACTCACATTTTACAATTCGGTAGTCTGTTGTTTCAAAAAGAATGATAGAGATAAGTAGGTCTACGTAATTCACATTGCAATGAAGCATAGTTGGCTAAATCCTTAGAACAGTTGTCTATGCGTACAGGGGATGGGTTGCTGGCAGATCAGGATTCTCTGTCAAGACAGCCAGCAAGCTAGCAATGTACAGTAACTTAAAGAACAGAATTGGGTTTCTGTGGCATCTGCTCATCTGACCATCATATATGCCTGCATCCAACCACCCATCCTTTCATACACCCATCCTTCCATCCGTCCACATATCCGTCCATCTGCTGTCATTCTGTCCTTAGCTTCCTCTTTCCTTTCCTTCATCCTTCCCTCTCTTCATCTGTCCATCTTCTCATTCATTCAGTCAGTATATTTTGATTGCATATCACATAGTATATCAATACTTATGAGAGAGATTATAGTCTCCTAGCTCTAGGGGAAAATCTGATATCCAGAAATACTTTCTTTATCTAATACAGTTTTTTTAAAATATCTAAATGTAAATAAATCTTATACCCATCATACATGCTTTGAGGTTGCAAGCCCCAAAATTTTCTATTGCCATGGGCCTAATTATTTAACATATTTTGCTCAGAAGGGTTACTTTTACTGCGTAGATGTACTGTGCTGTGCTATACTGGGTACTTGACATATTCTTTTCTGTCTTTTATTTTTCTTAGTACAACCTCAAACGGTTGGGTTAATATTCCCACTTTACCGTTGAGTAATTTGGGGTCCACTGAGGTACAGAGATAAATGGTTTATGGTGTTCAGTAGAATTTGAAATTAGGTTGGAGGACTTGGGTTAGTCTTTTGATATCTATAAGCATATTATGTAGATATCTAAAAAAGATTTGATCAGGGTACACACCTGTAATCAGCACTCTGGGAAGCAAGACAGAAGTATCACAAATTCAAGGCTAGCTTAGGCAGTTTAGCAGCTTAGCAGGAAGGTGTCTCTGAGAATGTAGCTCAGTCAGAAGGCCCAAGGTTCAATCCACAGAACCACAAAAACAAACAAATAAATAAATAAAAGAATTTGGGAGAATGACATTAACCCTTACTGATCACCTAATATCATACCTGAGATTTTACACTTTCCATCTTATTTATAGGTAAATATTAGATTAAGTTCATATTAAGGGTATTTTCCTCCCAATTTTTAGAGTATACATCTTTATTTTTACCTTCACTCTCAGGACTAATTGATTATTTGTACACAGTATATATAATCTAGAGCTTGCTTATATTGTAGGTGTGAATTCAGTCATGTAGAGTATATTAGAAATATCATTTTATTTACATTTCCCCCCATAAATTTAAATTAAATTCTACACTCTAATGTCACTGCCAGATGGAAGTAATTGATGAAAAGAAAGTGCTGCTTTTGTGGATATCAATTTTGATAATTCAATTCAGTGTGAGTTTTTAGTCCTAAAGATAATACATTAATTGTAGAAGACCTTAATCAACCTTGTACTTCTTATAATAAACCTAAGTTGGCTTGAATTATCACATGGAAATTCCAACTTCCAACTAAACCTCTATTGTAATACTTTTTTTCTCTCCTACTTGTTTCTATTCTTGAAGTAGTTTTAACTATGCATACATTTCATTTGTAAATTTCCATTCTGCTATTTTACTCTACACAAAGATCAATTAAAATTTTAATTTAAAAAGTCATCTAATTAAAGTAACACATTGCACAGAAATACGCCATTCAGCTAATCATGTATCTTTGTAGGCAAAATTGGAGATTGACAAATACATCCACTTAAATTTTGCTGTATGCTGAAAATTGAAGAAAATATTTAATTTGGCTATCCGTGTATCATTGTTAGTAATTCAAACCACTTAAGTAAAGATTCATATTTTGGTCATTTCAAAAGTGATTTTTGCTTTTGGTAAGTGGGTCCTACAGCATTTTGTCTTCATATTTGTGAGTTACTGCACCCCAGCTAGTATTTTCATTGCTGCCTTATGTTTATTTGCTGCAAATCCCTCTCAGAACTGTGTGCATTGGTTGTCATGGTAATGAGAAAGATAACTCAACTAAAATTCATGTCTTAAAATGGTTTAGGGTTTTAGAGTGATAGTATAAGGTTGACTCATTTCCAGCATGTGCAGTCTTTATTATGCATGGAATGAAATACAGTAGGCAAATTGCAGTATAATAATTCATAGTACATTTGAAACCTATAACTTCTCCAATATTTAAACTAGCTTTACTACCCTTTAAATATCACGTAATTCTTTTTCATTCATATTCTTCTGTAATTTCCCAGTCCTTCTACCCTACCATTAGAGGATAAAGGGTATCAAAACAATCTAGACCTGGTACTAAATTTTCCTTTCTCTGCTGTCTCAAATTCATTTCTTTGTAGTAATCAGTTTGTTTCTCTTGTCTTTTATGAGTCTCTTACTCAGCTGTATTAGCAAATTACAGTGGTAGTCAGTTGTCTTAATGCCTGTCAATGTAATGTTACTCCTAAAAGGGTGCTTCCCTAGGTCCATTCCTGAGTTTAATCACTGGTCTTTGTGCCCACAAGTTGTTTAATTGCAGCTGTGACAGCATGCCAGTTAAGTAATCTGTGTGTTTCAGTTAAGTTTCTCAATGGCGGCTTTCTTTTGTAAGGCCATATCTGACAAGATTCAATTGGCAGATATTTTTCTAACAAATGTTCATCCCAGATGATGCTAGTATTTAAACCAGGTTGTGCCAAGATTTAGATAGAAATACACAGTCATTTGATATTTTAAAACTTGAAAGTCTAAAATAATCTTGTAGGAAAAAACAGTAGTTCTCCATATGGGAAAGTGCCCTGAACTTTGTAAAATAGATTTTCAATATTTATATGTCAGAATAGGAACTATATATGGAACACTTATTTTTACTTCTCATGTTCAAACTATTTTGAACATTAGTGCTAACACCTCTGTGTGATGTATGCATCTTCATTATGTACCACTCACAGTTTTACTGAAGTCTAATTAGTAATTTCTTGCATGTAAAATTTTGTAAGACATTTGCTACTGTGGGAAGTCTTAAGGGTCTAAACCAACAATGAAAACTAGTCCGTTTTCTCAAATTCCTACCATGTAAGCCAATTTGAGACTCAAAAGAAGTTATATTCTCACTTATAATACTTTTCCTACATTTTGATTTCAAACAGACAGATTTCACTTTCTTTTTATGCATAATTTATTACTCAATATTTCTCCAGTAAAATTCCTGTGTGAATGATCACAACCCACTTTGTGTCTGTACAGTTACTCCTACAATGAACAGAGAAATAAAACCAAGGAAGTTAAAATGAATGTTTTAGTTTCATTATATCATTCAGTGTTGTACAATAAATTATTTAATGTTTCAGTGACAAATAATATTCTTAATTATCAAAAATGAGTTCAATCTAAAGAAAATATTAATACATTAATGTGTCAAAGTCAGAAATAGAGCAGCTAAATGGCTAGTAACTATATTAATCAAAATAAATTACATTATTTTTAAAAGAATTATACAGATTTAAGTCTTTTCAAAAATACTTTTCCTGTAGGCAGCAATGAATAGAAACAAAGTGTACCAGCACACAGTCAAACTGGCTTTTATTCTTCACCTGAGACTAGTTCTAATTGATCACTGTGCTATTGTATGATTTGATTGTGCTGACAGTTACATGCCACTGTTCCCATAATAACAATTTTTCTTCTTTGTTCAAATGAATTTCCTAATTACACGTGTGATGGGATGTTTTAATTCTTTTCCCTTTTCAAATCCACCTTCCTGTTGCAATGCATGATGGGCAGGCTCAATATTGTGCATGACACCCGCTACAAGTGTTGGTAGGTGCCAGCTTTGTTTCTTGATTATCTTAAACCTATGGTGCTCCTCACAGCCCCTCAAAATCCACTGCTAAGTTTAACTTTTATCTATTGGGCAAGTCCATTTTCCTTTTACTAACACCTGTCAATTAAATGACATTTTCTATTTAATTGACAAGGACTCACATAAATGTTTTCTTTACACACGACAGTTTCCTTTAATCACCTTTGGTGGATTTTGATTGGACTATGAGTTCTGGTGTGTAAAACAAAAAACTATATCATAAAATAATAAACTGTATTTTCATAATAGTAAAAATACTTTACTCAGATAACTGTATGTCAAGTAAATATCTATATTTTTATTTAGATTTTGAATGTCTATGAACACTATATAAAATTCTCATTTTTTGACTTAGAAAATTAAGCCTGTTTGTGTCAATTTTCTTGATTTGATGGTAACAAGCTTTTTTTCCCCCTTTTTTTTCTCTTTCATCCCCCTCCTCTTCTCTCCTTGGAATGTTGTCCTGCTTTGCGCTGTGATTGCATGTCACTCGCTGGTGATGATGTCCTGTCACATGGCTTATTGCTATGATAAATATCATGCCCAATGATCTCTTCCATGTTGCCATGGTTTCCATATTGCTACACTCTTCTGTATGTTTGCTTATATGATTTTCCCTTCGAAAGTTCCCATGGTGCACGGTGCTACGCCAGCCACTGTGTCCGCAGCAACAACATCTGCCACAAGTGTTCCCTTCGCTGCAACAGCCACAGCCAACCAGGTTTGCTAATTTACAGCTTTGTTTCTTAAAAAAACAACTCTAATAGGGCTCAGTCCAGCAGCCTTTATACACGCAGATTTCCCGTTGGAGTCAGTGGGAATCGTGTGTATATGAGGGCTGTAGAGGGTGCTGTAATGAGCATGGGGTTTCAAAGATACCTCTTGTTGGCCTACACATTCTTTCTATGATGAGCAGCAGAATGCTTTTATGCTATTTATAAGTGCTCCAAAGTTGTCGCAGCTCCATTTCTGAAGCTACTAAAATGATACTTACACAAGCAATTCTCACTTGGTTTCAACCAAATGTGCAGGTATATTGATTAGTCAAAAATAGAGGCAATCTTAGGATTTTTATTAAAAGTATTTGGTGTATACATTTCCTTAAATTCTTACCTAAATTCTTAATAAAAGGGAAAATATTTTAATGTATTACATATGCCACAGATGACTACTCTTGTAAATAAGAGTTTGCTATAAAATTATTTGATTTCTTTGATAAGCACATTGCACATACAAAATTAATTAAGTTCATGTGCAATATTTCTAAGCTTTGATTCTTAGAAAAAAGATGAAAAAATGCTAAGTGCTCTTATTTCTATAATTACGCTGTATAGCAGTTGGTCATTTATGAAGAAAAAAGAAATAAAGTATTGTAAATAGAGACTCATTGTGTATTCGATACAAATTTACAGAGTAATAGTTATGCAGGGTACTTTTAAATAAAAGGAATTATTTAAGAGATTTAAAATTTGTGATACCCAATGACTATTTAAAATAAAATTTATATTTATAGTTTAAAAGTTGACTTCTTTCCCCCACATTTTCTGATTCTGTTTAAAAATATGATCTAAAAATACTGATTGGGTCCAAGTCTCATTTATATAAAGTAATTTGGGGTTTTAAATATATGGATATGTTTGTTATGAAAGAAAAGTTCAGTTGGGTATCATGTATGAAAAGCGGTAACCAAATTTCAGATAACCCCCTGCCTAAGTTTAGATGAAGTTGAGTGAGTATCGTAAGAATCAACATCAGATGTGATTCTACATGTTGCCTCCTGGGAAGAGAAGAACAATTGAGTCCTGCCTAAAATTGTGTTTTTTACTAAAATGTCATTGTATTCTTGATGGACTTTCAGATATTCATGTGCCCATTAAAAACTTTTAAAAGTACACTTCCAGAATGGATCTATTTAAAAGTTTTAGATAAACTTCAAACATTGTTTGGCAAAGAATCATTATGTTTACAGAAGCTTGTCCAGTTAGCCCTGAATTTATGCTAGCATATCATACTTATTTACAAGAATGCTAGTTTGTGTGTGTGTGGCATACTAGTAAGTAATCTTCAACAGGTATATCTTCATGGATTCAGTGTCATCTGTTTATGGTGCCAGTCATTGATGCTGAACTCTCTTGTATGTATCATGTATGACTACAGAATTGCTGGTGTAAGCAGAACTATAACAAAGCAAATTTCCACATGCCCTTGGCCACCTGGGTTGTAGGGGACACTTCACCTTTTGCATTGTGCTGTGACCATTTCATGCATAATCTTGGGTCTTCATACTATTTTAAAACCAAAGAAAAGGAAAGGGAATGGATATATATATACACACATATATTATATCTACATATACATACATATGTATATGCCTTTAGTACATTAGCAATGCTAGAAATAGCTGATGCCACAACATGCAGCCTGCATGCATGCAGAAGTTTTAGCTGGCCCTTCATCTGCATCGATTGGTGTTGAAGGTCCTTGGTATGTTTCGACAGCCCCATCCTTGATGCTTCTACACTGTTGGGTGCAACATCCTGTCCTGCTGCAGCAGGAAAAATGGTATGAGAAGCTTCATTATGCTTGGAGCACATTTTCGTGCCATTTGCCAATGCTGTAAATTGTGTAAAAAATGTCAGCTGAGAAATGGAAGTAAAATATGGACAAATAAATATACATTCCAGACTGTGGATTGTAGCATGTTAGTCTAGGATGTCTAAATTGAAACAACAATAATGTCTTCATGTATGTGACATCATTATTCTCCCATCAGCATTGCAGAAATGGGATTAATACCATTTTATAGAAGAAATGTAATCCTAGAGTAATTAGTTGCTTTGCTCAAGTTCACCCAACCAGGAAGTGAATCACTAGCAACAGAACATGTTCTTTTGGCCTGCGATCATCTCTATCTATAGTGCTGCTGCCCCCATGCTAGCAGCCTTTAATTTTGGGTTAGAGAAGAATTGAGTTACAAGTTTATAGTTCTTGGTTTGGGGGACTATTGAAATAAATAACCTTTATATCAGTGTCTTACAAATTTTCTCTCAAGTTGTCTAAATATCTTGCTCATTCATAATGCAATGATGTGTAATGTCTATATCCTTATCCAGTTCTTTTGCATTACTCCCTATAATTCTTACCTAGTATTTTTAATTTGGAAAAAAGTTAGACATTCTAATTTGAATGAAAATGGTAGAAATTTGGTTGCCCAAAAATAGACAAGATGTTTCCTACTCTGATTTCTGTATTCTTAATAAGTAACTGAAACCACAAGAGAGAGAGAGAGAGCGAGAGAGTGTGTGTGTGTGTGTAGGCCAACAAAAAGGGCTTTCTTTCAATTACTGCTCTGCATGAATTTTTGGTAGTTTTACTTCTCTTACTTCCTAAAAACTAGTAACATTTATAGAATAGTATTTAACACAAATATTTTTAAAAGTGAGTTGCTATTCTGGCATTTAAATTCATATTAACCAACTGTTACGTTGACCGGATAAGACTATCACCTCACAGCTGATTCTTACTCTTCTTGAAAAGGTTAATATTAAGATGTTTTCATCTCTTGGTTGTTGGCTTGCTTGCATGGATCATTCATTAAATAATTTTTTATTTGCTAGATACCCATAATATCTGCCGAACATCTGACTAGCCACAAGTATGTTACCCAGATGTAGAATTGTCATCACTAAACAGTAAGTTCATTCTGTAATGTACAGCTGTATGTCTATGGTGATTTTCTTAAGATAATAGATGTATAGTATACTTAATTTCACGAAACTTCAGAGATAATATTGTAGAGTTCACATTTTTATCTTAGAAGGGTTATGTAGAATTATATATAAATGTAAATATGATGCTATCACTTAAAATACAAAATACTGAAGGATAGTAAATTTTGTTTTTTATTTCATAAAAGATAACAAGCATGAAGAAAAATATGACTTAAAAGTAAAAAGAAGGCATGTGTTAAGGGTTGGCATATATTTTTAAAGGGCCAAATAGTAAATATTTTGGCAATTGGGCCATTTACTTTGTAGAATCTGATCAATTCTGCCACTGTAGCTTGGAAGCTACCAAACGTAGTATACAAGCAGTGTTGGTGGACCTATGGTGTTTTTCTTTTAAGACAAAAGATGTTAGTGTGTAAGTTTTTTTTTTTTTTCCTAAACCAAACCTCAGTATTGAGGTTAATTGCAGTGTTGGCACTTTGAAGATAAATAAGTGGGCTTTGGGTTGCAGTTTGGGCAGTCTAAAAGATTTACCATCACTTGTATAAAGGAATAGATATGGCTGCGTTCCAATAAAACTATTTTGCAAAACAGAGTAGCTGGATTTGGCTCACTTAGTAGTTCAGCTGACCCCTTGTGATCATCGGTAATTTTATTTTTCCTGTTGTTTAGCTAAATCTTAAGAATATGTACAGTGGATACTTGAGTTACAACTGGCCTGACATACACACAACTTGGGTTATGACCAGAATTTTAGTTTTAGCTTATGAACAAAGTCTTATGACCTGAATGCCAGCTGTTTATGTTCCCGATGGCCTCAGGTACAGATTTAACCCTGAACGAGTTCTGAAAGGAACATGAAAACAACCTTTCCTGTGTGGGGTTAATTGAGAAAGTCTGTGCCAGTGTCTCTCTAAGGACACTGAGATCTGCCTGTGTACAGGAGAGAGACTTTGAAGGCTGTGTAGAGGAGCCTGAACCTTTATTTGATGAACTTAAGTTACAACCACTCCTTTTGAACGAATTGAGTTCATAAGCCACGTCTCACCTGTAGAAACATTGTCATGAATACTTTGAAAGTCACCTTTTTGTAATTCAAAGAAAATATATTTTATTCAGTATGCATGCATTCAAGTTACAATATATGCTCAGAAGCATGATGGGTACCTGTTTTTATATTTAGAATGGACTACAATATTTAAAACTGAATCTGGTAAATAAAACAGATGGTCCTTCCATTTTTGCTTCCTTTTATTTATTTGGTCGTCAACATTACAAATGAGATTTTGTACTACTTTGGGTTGGTTGTGTGTTGAGATACAAGATGTACCTAATCTCAGGATAATAGATTAAAGTAAAAGATTAGGAACAAAGATGAAGGAGCAACTCTTCCCAACAAAATCAGAAAAGAAAATGTTGATAGTGAACGTACATATGGAGAATGGAGAAATAAGGACCTTAGAGAAGGGACAGTATACGAGTCAGGATTCATGGTGGCAGAGAAGCAGTTAGAGCCCCTGGTGACTAAGCCATAGGGAGAGGCAAAGACAGAGCCCATTGCTGGAGAGAGGAGGGATAGATAGAATCTATGAGCCCTTAAGAAAGAAATGATAGAGTGGATTTGAGAAGCAGTAGTATAAAGATGTGCTGAGGTCATGAAGTAAATCGTTGAAATTGATTTTTATTTAATGAGCTCTCTCAAAGCAGTTCTGATAAAAAGATTCATCATCATGACAAATAGTACATTGCTTTTAGTTTGTAGATTTAGCAGAGGAACTCTTCATTTGACAATTTAAAGAATCTGTTTCCAGTTTTATTGTCTTTTGATGTTTAGTATTATGCATTTATGTTCTATTTCTTAGCAATAATCCAGGTTAAAAAATGTGATACCCCATGATCATAAATCCATCAATACATAGTAAACCAATGGCCTTGTTTTTATGGACGTTTAGGATCTTACTGTTCTATTTATTTTAAAAATGTTTGCTTTCATTTGAAGTTTCAGTATTTAAACTGTTTTTTCAGTTAGCAAAATGGTGATTTTTCTCATTCTCAAAGTTATATTCTAAAGAATGTTTTTAATTTTTAAACATTCCCTGATGAAACTAAATTTCATGTAAAAACCAAAATTTTTAACTGTCAGATACATTGTTCTATCCAGTAAAGCTTAATTCATCAGGAATATTCCTTAATACATAAATAAAGATTTTAGTTTTTCTTGGCATTAGAGGAAAGACCATCTATAAGCTATGAATTTTCTAAAAAACTCAAAGTATCATATTTCCATGAATTTTAATTTTGTAAGCCAAATCATTCTGAAAACTTACTAACATTACAAAAAAGTAAGATGAGTTTGAACTCTGCTCTATGAGAATAGTGTTAAGAAAAGAATTCTACTAAATTATGCCCCTTGATTCTGCAACTATATTTATCTTAGTAATAGGAAATTTTTGAGAAGTGCCTATAATTTTATTAAATTGCATATCCTAGCATTCACAAATACCCATTTAAATTTACCCATTTGCTCTACTGAAGTGGGTTTTGTTTTTACATGAAGATATAATAATGTATGTATAAATTTGATATTAAATATGTATTGGACACTGCATTTAGTAATTTTGCTTTAACACAAATTTTCTCTTTTTTCCTTGTAGATCATACTAAAGAGGAAAGGACAGTGTGCTTGGTTAGAGTAAAGGACGAGGTCATTAGCCATATTGTATATACCTTCAAGCAACACACACAAAAATCCCTCAGCCCCAAGACATCCACATATTGCATGTTAAACAGAAGAAAAGACAACATGGAAATCCACTGCACACTGTTGCCTATACACTTTGTACACTTAATTGATATTTGCGCTGAGGTGATATTCCTGTCTAAAAGAACAACATTGTCTTTCTTTTCTAGCACAGAATTATGCATTAAAATATGCATACCTAATTAGTTTCCTATATATTCACGCCATCTTGAAAAGACAGACTATGGTGTAACCATGATTCTATTATGTATTGGTACGTCTGTAGACCAAGATATAATTTTTTAAAAATAAGTTTATTTCTTTCAAGGTTTACAAATAACAAAGGTGCACCTTGTATTTAAAATTGCCATTATAGATGAGAGCGTGCATGCACAGTCATTTTTGTTTAAGAGTAATATTTTTAATGTAATAGATTGTAAGACGTGGTGAGGGAGGGATCTGACAGAGATGAATGTGCCAAGCAAAACCACAACTGTGTATATTTTAAAGCACATCATGGTTTTACCTACCATGTTGTCAAGGATTCTCATGAAGTGCCATAGACTGTACATCAAATTAGAGTATTATTTCTTCAGTGTTACTGTTTTCAGAGCCACATTCTGTTGCTTATTTGCTAGTACTAATCAATCAAAGGGCACCATTCTTTTTTCCTTTTTTTTTTGGAAACCAAAGCTGTCTCAGAAATGGCCAATTTAATTACAGTAACAATAGACAGCACAACACAAACTCTCAATACAGATAAACTCACATACTGGAGATATATATAATAGATAAATATATAAAATTATTTTAATGCATTGTAGTGTAATATTTATGCATACTATACTGTATAACATGTTATTCAAAAGGGATATGCCATTTCTGAGACACAATAACAAAAATGTTTGAGGAAATTATTTTGCTTCTATTTATAGCCTCTCAAAAGTCTAAAGACTATAAATGCTTTGCAAAAAATGGTTTCACGTTTGCTTAAATGCTTCATCAAAGTCACATTCAAAATAGTGACTCTAAACAAAGAAGAAAGCAGCACTATCATCAGATGCATGATAAACCAAAATATGAAAATGGCAAATGTTTAATTAACCTAGTAATTGGTTGGGTAAAGTACATGGGTGAATTTTCTATGTAATTTTTTTGTTGTTTTATTCTGTTCAGATTAACTGCTTATAGCCTTAGAAAGCCTTTTGCAAAATTTTAAAAAATAGATGTGCATTCAGTTTTTAAGAATGGATTCATCCAAAGGAATTCCTTTTTTTTTTTTTTTTTTTTATTT